CGGCGTGTTACACCCCTTTTAGATTCCCGGAGGGTGCATCGGCAGTCTCTGCCGGCTATTGCCTTCCGGGCCGAGGCAACGTCTCAAGAAGTGGCTTCAAAATGGCAGTACTACCGGAGTTCGTACTAGCCAAATTTTTCACCCAACCACTTCTTGCGTTCTTCCGGCTTCTACTTCGTCATTTTGCTCTTCTCCCCCGCCTTCCTTTTCCATACCCTCCCTTTTGAAGATGCCATTCTGGGAGGATTAGGATGAAGTCCCCGAGGGGATCGGACTTGGAAGATATTGTATTTGAGGTCACATGCCTGATAGGATGATGACGGAGACGCAGCATGAATAGGCTAAGTCCCTAGGCTCTTGCTGTATGCATATCATTTGTACTTCTTTATTTTTACGTAAGGATCCCCTGTGGGCTTTTTGTAATCATATGTAATGTAATCATATGTAAGGACCCCCCGAGGGTCGTTGTAAGCGAACACTTGTATAAATACAAAAATATTTTCTTGATTCCTTCCTTCGACACTTGCTGTATCTCTTTATATTTTTGGCAGCTTCGAATGCATGATCTTGTTTTGTCACCTGTGGTACTGGCCTTGGGCGCGAGTATTCTTCCCGGCCTTTGGTTGATGAAACGGCTTCGCGTGGGGTCCTTCGTGATTTCTCGAACTGGACACGAATTAGGCCAATAACCTCGGGCCGTCGGGACCCTTTCTCTGCGTGAAAGCGTGGATAATATCTTTGGGCCTCATAATAGCCTTCGAGAAGAGACTTGCCTGAGGACTCGCGGTCTCGGGACGCCGGTGACTTCCTGGAGGCGATCTCTGAATGGAGGCCTGGCCGTGCTTCGGGCCACCCTGGTCATTATTCGGAACCTGTTTCACACGGGTATTTGTTAGAGACGCCCATTTCTTCATAAACTAGCCTTCTTTGGCGGAGGTCTTTTGAAGCTGTACGCCACTCTTGTGTTGGTGAAGGCATTGTTGGCCTGCTGGAGCACTGTCTTGCTATGACGGAGGTCTTCGGGGTTGAGCATTACCTCAAAACCGGAGGCGGTGCCGATGGTTGGTGCTTTTGGTTGGTGTTGGATCATTCCCGCCCTTCTCGCATGTAATCGTGAGGCTGCTTCCGCTTCCCGGGGGTCCTCGGGGTTTGTTGTTTTCATGGTGCCGGTGGGTCATGCCCTTAGCGGTTGTTTATTCGGGGAACGGCAGAGGCCGCGTACGGCGATAAATGAGATGTGCGCTTCATAATCATGAAGGAGCTTTTATCGGGGCGAGACGGGCCTATGCTTCTGAGGAGAGTGCATCATTCGAGCCTGGCGTTCCTGGAGTCCTTGGTTCCGGAGCAGCGGTTCCTTTGGGCCAACAAGGGTTGGGCCACCAGGAGGGTGCTCGGTCGCCGAGTAGGTTTGCCGATTTCACTTCGTGGTAAGTTACAGCATGATTCCTCCGTATCTCAGGTCTTTCCTTTCTTATCGAATTTTCCCTCCGTAAGACTCCGACAGACCCAGGCTTTGAGTTGCTCCGTCAAGGGGCTATACTTCGGGGGGCCCTGGATGAGGATAGGCCTCTTAGGCTTCTTGGCGAGGGGAAGGAGGGGTCGAGTCGGTGTACTGGCGGTTCGGGACATATCAGAGCTCGCATTACAGAAGTCTTTTGATGAGGCAGGAGCCTTCTTGTGGTAGGCGTTTCGCCTTTTCGACCTTTGAGTTTAGGCTTTGCTTATTTTTTA